ATGCTCGTCACCCTCTCCCTCCGGTCCACATTAATACAAATGATCCCAATACGTATGATTGTATGAAAATATCTTATAATAAATACAAATGTATTTATTATAAACGTTAGTCCTTAACATCTATCACTGTGTAGGCCTATATCACCATTCAAACATCTTTTAAAAGTTGAACAAACCCCACACAGCTCAGTGAAATGTTGACTTTATTTGACAATTTCAGTAAAAACTAATGTTCCTATTTCTCTTTTTGATTATAATACTGATGAACGTTCAAAACAAAGCACTTTGGCAAGTTAACACATATGTTTTAAAATGCTTAATAAGCACCGTAACTTTCATGATATAACTTCTCCGTCATAATCGTTTTATTTCCGTGAACGGCCGACTGTTGTGTGACGGCAAATGCTGCGGCTGCAAGGCATTGTGGGGCAGCATTTTCTCCTCTCCTTTCGGTCAGGGAGGTCCAGTGGTTCCTAAGCTAAAGGAGGTTATAAAGGAAGTCTGAAACCTCCTTTCCTATCATTCTAGAGAATTCGAACGGCACTTATCATGGCTGCCACTGAGGGACTTCCGGGTCATTTCACTCCGTTAGGAAGGTCCCTAAGCTAAATGGACTATTCGACTTCAGCCTACACTCCTTTCAGACGAGACATAACCACGTGAAGACACGTTACGCTCGTGTTGTGTTCAAGGAACCTGTCCTTGGCCAGGAAATACAGGCACTCGCTTGTTTAATTATTTTGCGATCTAGAATTCTTCTTCTTTTTGAAGTGAGAAGTTTTGAAGTGGTTGACATTTTTTCTGAATGGTTGCCAATGGCAACCTGGCAACCGTTACTGTCGAGCCCTGGTAGCTCTCGGTTAAAAAAAGGTTTGGCACCCCTGCTCTAGAACTAGAGTTTAAAAACGTAAACGGTGAGATGCGCGCGCATTGAGGTAGGCCCGCCCCAAGGCCGGCTACGTCTATAGAAATCTCTGTAGGTGAATGCTTGCATAGAGGGTAGTACCCCATAGAGTTCAGTAGAGGGCGGAGCCTGTGAGAGATAGTGTGTGTGTGTGTGTGTATGTATGTATGTATGTATGTATGTATGTATGTATGTATGTATGTATGTGTGTGTGTGTGTCTTACTGCTGCACTCGCTGTAGGGCTGCAGGACGTCGCGTGGCTCTGGCTCAGCAGGACAGAGTGGATATAGACATCGTTTTCAGTGTGTGTGTCACACAGGTAGAGCTGAAGCACATCTCCACTGTAACCATCCAGAGCACCCACCAGGGAGCGATCAGAGCATAGCTTCTGGAAGGCAGCCTTGACCTCAGCAGTCCAGCTGCCCTGCAACAAACAGACCACAACAATCTTATTCATAAAACTCAACTGCAACTAAACACTCTGTAACATCTGCAGCTTGATAGCTTGAAGAAGATAGTGCTCAGATTTGCCCACTGTCAATTTAATGAATATTAGACTCACAGCGGTGGGTTTAATTCCAGCGAGTGATGACGGGACAGCTTGTGCTGGAAGATTTGAATAACATGACCTGAGGAAACATAAATGAACAGTACAACAAAACGCATGAAATCATCAGTTCAGTAGTAGTACTTGTTGTTGGATCGTTTAACCGCTTAAATGTGTTTAAAATGCCCCTACTTGAGGAACTTGAGGCTGGCGCTCTGTACCACGATCATATCGCCAAAGTCGACAGAGTACACCTCAACCTGAGTGGGGCTGATGATCTGATGGATCACCACTCTGTAGAACCACATTCCTTTAGGCGACATGCAGCAGACTTGACCCCTTCGTACAAATTGTCCAGGGAGGCGGTAACGCATCGACACCTCAGGGCTGGTGTAACATCGTCTAAAGGCGAGGGAGGAAGAAAGAGAAAAAATATGAATTACTGGAAGTCATTGCTTATTAGACCCTCCAGAAAAACGCGGGCAAAAATCCTTGATTATGCGGGCTAAATTCCTTGATTATGCGGGCTAAAATCCTTGATTATGCGATTAAACATGCAGCAGGGTATATGGAGAAATCCTGAGGTCAAATTGAATACCTTTTAAGACCCTTTCCATACATTTTAAGACCTTATCGCAACTTTGAGTTCTAACCGGTTACACACTTTACCTCACATTGACTATATTGATTGTAAGATAGCACAACTAAACAGAGTGCAGACAGACTACTGAAGCCTCCTCTACACATGAACTTCAACCTCTCTGTGAAGGTCAGGTTTAATGCAGTAGCTTTGTTGCTTCTGTACTCTGTGCTCTTTCATTCCAGTAAAACTCCTCAGAAACCATTAGAAACCAGTATTTGATCAACAAACAAAACAATTGACAAAACTTTGAACTATGAAATATATTAAACTTTGGTGAGCTTCAGCGGGGTAATGCCATATAGGAGCTCCCTCAGAGGGAGCTCCTATATGGCATTACCCCGCTGAAGCTCACCAAAGTTTAATATATTTCATAGTTCAAAGTTTTGTCAATTGTTTTGTTTGTTGATCAAATNGAGAACTCGCTCCGAGGTGTGGTTAAACTTTACCCGTCTCCATGTGGACAATGCTCGTTACCTAAAGTGCAATAAGAGTTTAGCATGTAAGGGCGGTAACACGAGCAATTTGTCTAAACATTTAGAAAAAGTGCACCACATTCAGACGGAGGAATGCACCGGGTTTGACTGTCTTTCTAGTAGCTCTGTAGCCCCATCCACGAGTAACGTTTCCACGTCAGCTGTTATGTATGCTAGCAGCAACATCCACGTCAGGTGTTATGTATGCTAGCAGCAACACACAGAGTTAACTCAGTTATACAAACATGGGTTAATGATTAGAGGTAACTGAGTTATTTATTTTGTTAAAGTTTCAGCTATTCTGTTTACAGTTCTGTCATCAGATTATTTAATACGATTTGTTAAAACATTGTTGTTTCTTTTGATGTGAAATATTATGTATTTAATTTAAATAAAAAGCTATGTTAATTGTGTTCACAATTTGTTAAGTTAATTTAATAATATATGTATTTTTGAATCAAGTATTCATCTTTATTGTCTTCATTGTTAGTTTCCACATGCCTAAAACAACCTCAAGCTAAATCTAAAAGTTGATGGCTAAATAAGAGCGTTTGAGAAATTGTGCAAGGCATACAGTAATAGTCCGAATAGTCGATGAATCGTTTAATGAATCGATAGATTAATCGATTATCAAATTAGTCGTTTGTTGCAGCCCTATTGTAGTTATCCCATGTATAAATAGAACGTGTTATTCAGCAACCCTTGCGATTTGGGATTTTATTTTTGGTTTAGCTGGTCATTTCAAAAGTAGCTCACCTGCCAAAAAAGTGTGGGCACCCCTGGTGTATATTATATTTTACGCATTTTTTAGTCATTATAAATAAAAAAATATAAATATATTTATTAATAGCTATATTAGGTGTGTGTTCTCACCCGTGTGTTTAGGACCATGGCGTTGATCTCCGGTATCTCTAGGCTGGATCTTAGGAATAAAAACTTCAGTCAGCTCTTTGCTCACTTATTACAGCAGCATATAATATTAAACATTATAATAAAATATGAGGTAATTCAAACAGAAAGAAAGCATCTCTCACTTGTAGTTTGGTCTCTTTGTCCACAGAGGTTTCACATTCTGAAGAGACAAAATTAGAAAAACTTTTCAAGTGAAGTTTAACTAACTGAGTATAAGCAGCAAATTCAGATTTCACAACACATCATAATATAATAAAATATAAAACAATAAATACAGTGTATACATACAAATATATGTATATATTAAACAATAATACAATAATTCTAATATCATATTATAAATACAGTGTATACATATACATATTAAAATAATAACAATACATTTGTTGGTCATCTTGTTATTATAAATCATTCTGATACACTTCCTTTACAAATAACTCTTTGTTTTTGTACTCTAAGATTGTACTTTATACAATAACTGGGCACCAAATCACTGTGAGGATGTATTTTAATAATACCAATAATAATGTAAATAGGGTCTGACCTTCTTGGTGAGGTCGCTCCAGCTCCAGCAGCTGATCTCTCCGTTTCCTGCGCTCAGGAGGTGACAGTCGGTGGAGAGGAGCGAGAACACAGGTCCTTCATGAGCTAAAACACACACACACACACACACACACACACACACACACACACACACACACACACACACACACACACACACACACACACACACACACACACACACACACACACACACACACACACACACACACACACACATTCATTATAAAAACCCCATTAATCACAACACAGATACGAGTTAGAAAAGGCAGGAATAAAGCAATGGTGACTCTTTCTCACTTTCAAAAAGTTGCCCTTAGAAGACCAAAAACTGCCATAAAATATACATATTAATATTACTCTCCACTTACTTTCGGGATAGCTCTTATAACCAACTTTAGGCCTGATCATAAATACTTTATATCCTTTTTGGAGAGTTTGAGACTTTTAAATGGTAGTTAATTTACAAAGTGCCACGAATGTTTGTTTTTATGAAAGTAAAATGTCAAACAAAAGAGCAAATAAAATAAAAATATTAATATAAACATAAGCAGGTTTATTAGAATATATATGTATAAAACTATCGTTTTTAGGACGTATGTATTAACACTTAGTTTACAACAACTAACTTGTTTTTTTTCATTACTTACTAACAAACTAAAAATAACACAAAATACAATACTCAACATTAAAAGTTATTAGTCCCTAACTAGTGTGACAAATCAAAGTATACTGAGGTCTTAAAAAAAATATTTTTTTACAATTCTCATTAATTGTATACAATGGAAATGACAGTAAAATAACTGAATCAACTTTTGAGCCCCATAAAATGAAACAAATATTTAGGGTTAGGGGATATGTGTTATATCTCACCTGTGAAGGTTAGAACAGCTTTCTGACTCAGGGCTGTGGCATCTGGACTCAGAGCTGCAGACAGGCTGCAACCCAAACATAACCAATATATTAATATGATTATTAATATATTAATACATTTGGTTTAAAAGAGGCACTATTTTGCTTATTTTCAAGTTCATATTAGTATTTAGTGTCTCTACTGTAACATGTCTCCATGCTTTAATACTTAAAAAGCTCTTATATTTATCATACTGCCTGTGCTGCAGCACCTCTTTTCACCCTCTGTCTGAAACCAGAGCCTGCTCTGATTGGTTAGCTGGCCAGCTCTGTAGTGATTGGTCAACCGCTTAGAGATGTCCCACTTCTTAGCCTATTACGTAAAATGTTATTGGAGCGCTAGCCAAAGTAAGCGTGAGTCTTACACAGTGATGTCACTATGTTACGGAAGTAAGAAAAGGAGTCCAATGGAAGCGTTGGGGGCAGGAGGGGGGGGAGTGTGTGGGAGAGAAACTCCCTCTGGAGGGAACACAGGGATTCGGAACACAAACTACAAGAAAGGGAAAACCTGAAAAAAGCATAATAGGGCCTCTTTAATGAGTTTGATCATAGTGTGTCGGACCTGAACACGGCGATCTCGCCATAGTTGTTCCCAGCTGCCAGAAATCGTCCACAGGGAGAAAAACTCTGCGAGAACACGGACATGTGGAGGAGCTGCAACAACAAAACATACATTAAATATTCATATTCATCTTTATTAAACTTAGGAAATCACATCAGCAGCTCTGTGTTTTCTCTGCTCATTATTTCCAACATAAATCTGTCTGTTGACTTCTATCAGCCATCTATCATTTATTGGAGGTATTACGAATTGAAACAGCAGGATTGCAGGAAGAGTGGTCTCAGATGTACAAGTAAATTGCAGTACAAGCCCACTTAGACAAAATATGAAACAATAATCTAAATTAATAAAAAGATAATAAAAGAAAGATAAAGAAAATCAAGTGTCACAAAAGTATTATTATTAGTAATATACATGTATTACTGGGCATCACACCTATCAAACGTAAAGGGTTTTTAGAAGAAGTAATATATTATTATCCAATCAATAATATTGACTGATTAAGTAATTCCAGGAGAAGTGAAGACCAATACTGTGTCACATATTCAGACAAAAGACAATATACAAGTAAAGACACATTACAAAATACAGTTCAAACTCTGGTTAACATTTATACAAAAACGGGTTACCAAATGGGACTTGATTTAAGGACCTTAATAAATGCCCTTATAACATGTGCTTGGTTCCATTTTAAAAATATATATAACTTTTTTAACGTATTCAATCAATACCCACATTGAATAGGAGTCCCTTTACCATTAGAACATGTTTTAACCAGTAATCCTATGCGAGCATTTTTACAAGCTAACAAGAAAACACAACTTTAGCAGAAAGCAATGGCATGTTTATTAGCTAACAACACGTATTTTAAACACCAACGATAGTTTCGTTAAGATGAAGTTGATGTAAACGTGAGCTCTAAAAAATAAACAAAATACACATTTTAGCGGAATTCTAAGTGGTGTTTCCCGCAAAGCCTTAACTTTTAAGGCCAAGGCACACAGGTACAGCTAAGGGGAATAATTAAAATGTAAATCAGTGTGTATTAACGTATTCTAACTAATCTATTACACCATCAGATATTATCGTTATTTGCCACATTTCCAACACCAACAAAGCGCGAGTAAAGCTAAGCGCATATTTCAGTATAAATGTGAGTGAGATTTTTAAATTAAATTGAATTTCCTCCACAGTTTTAAGAACATATTAATGATAGTTTACCTCGACGGGACCCATTCTGTTCACACGGACACGTCGTGCCTTTATAACGGCTGCAAAAGGACCAAAAAGTCGGTAATTTAAGTTTTTTTTTTTACAAACGATGCGAGGAGGGAACAAGATGAATGCAGTCGAGGGAATATGACGTATGCACTAACGCAAAGGATTCTGGCACATGTAGTACACATTCTAGCAGCGAGGTGTTTTTTTATGCACAACTAAAGGACAAATGTAATTCATAAATGTAAGAAAAGAAAACAATTATACTCAAAATGGATTCGATAAAAAAAACACAATATGAAATCACTTTGTTTAAAAACATGTTTTAGCATGTATTTGATCATTTTAAATTATTTTTTAGAGCAGGTTCAATTATAATTATGAATTTGTATATAAATTAATGGCAAGAAAGGAAAAAAGGAATTTGGAACTAGAATGAGAAATAAACTTAAAGATGATAATACAAAATATCTATTATATATTTAAGATAATAAATCAATGTACATTTTAATAATAATAATACACTTTATATTGTTACAAATATTATTGTATTGCAAATCATCATTTCTAAGGGAGGTATAGAGTAAATATAAAAATGTTATGAGGGTATAACTATGTAAATATGTATGCTCATTTTAAACATATCAAATACAAGTGCACATTAATCTTTTTTTTGAAATTCAAAATGTATTCCCCATATACACAAGGAAGAACAAAGCTCCAGAGGATTTTTCTAATTAAAAAAACTGTGTTTCTAATATAAAGTATTTGTTGATTATTAAAACGACCTCAGAATGTCATTTGCCCCATGATGTTAATGAAGAAGTAGATGAAGGGGATGAAGATCTAGCGGCAGCCTGGCTCGGCTCGACTAGGTTATCCCCGGCAGCAGTGAGGCAGAGCATCACCGAGACTCAGTGATTGTCTGTAATACAATGACCCTAATGAGCTCTGGGGTTCATTATTAAAATAAAACCCAGAAACTGATTGTTAAAACCACATACTGGATGTTTTTGTGGCTCCTGGTTAGCTTTGTGCGCATGATGACGCGCAGCGGTGTGCGCAGCCAGCAGCGGCAGGAAGTATGTTGTCGAAGCGGCGGTAGAGAGAAGGTAGATGGGGAAAAGAGCCAATAAGCAAAAGTCGGTGTTTGAACCGGAGGAGGAGAAAATAAATCATGTCGAATCCGTGAAATCTGCGTATTTTTGCATCTCCACGCCGTGCATCGTCCACCCGTGCGGGCGCAGAGGCCGATTGAGGGGTAAGTGTGGATCGGAAAAAACGGTTCGAAAACTAGGCTTTCATCAATGGGGGCCGCGGTGTGTTTGTCGAGATCTTTGTGTAGCTCCGGGCTAGCCTGGGGTTAGCTGAGATGCTATCCTCTCTGCGAGCGCATACATCGGCGGAAGTTTGGACCCTCTATCTGCTTCGTGTTATTTAAAATAAACAATAGTTGTCTCGCTAGCTTTTGCACGTTTGTATTTTAAGCTTTTATTTACAATATTTGTGTTTTGCACTTCCGTTTTACCTATTTTCTCTTATCACGGGGGGTTGTTAACTAGCCTAATGCTAATGTTAGCGCGGCCGTGTATATTTTAACTCATATCCACCAAACTGTTTATATAACCAATATGCTAAATGCATTGATGTTGCTGAATATGGTATATGCACCTTGTTTTGAGAAAATAAACACACCACAAGCCTCTGGTTGTAGCGCAGTGGGGTATCAGTTTGTGTTTGTGGGCTAAAAAGGAGATGCTAGCGCGTTAGCATGGGGAAAATGTCCCGCTGCTCGAAAGCCATTTTCCGATGAAATGGGGTCTCACTGAAAGTGGGCTGGTGGCTGTAGGTGTTGTCCCCGCTATGCTGTGATCGCTAACACCGGGTGATTTTATTCAGTTTGACCCCCCTGTTGTTTTTGCTCCCGGGTCCACGGCCGGGCTCGGGTGTCACTCCCCCGATTAAATTCGGGGAGTCGGCCTTAGGAAATGTCGGCCGTGTGTCGAAGAAGATGCCCCGCTTTTGTCCCGACAAAATCCACGCCGGGGCTGAACCCGAGCAAGAAGAGACGGGCCAAGGTCAGGCCGCCCTGCTGCAGCTGGCGCGGCTCTTTCTGTGTTAAATCTGCTGTAATCATATTAACAGAATGATAATTCTTATTTTTATGAGTTTATTGCCGTCTCTGATCAAAACAACCCATTAATGTGTGAACAGACCCGGTTTATTTCTGCAAGGTGTGTGAATCCATCCGAGACACTTTTGGCACCACAAACATTGAAATACCTTTTTTGTTTGTGAAGTACAGCTTTACTAGCTGTTTTTGTTGCTGTGCAAAGCAAATTCCGTTTGTTTACATTATCCAAGGAAGAAAAGAAGTTGGACGGGGAAAAGAAAGACAGGGTTTTGATTGGCTGGTCCTGAACGGTCTGATTTAAATTAGTGTGAATGAGATGCTTCATTTAAAAGATCTGTACCAGATTACTGTGGCTGATTCCATTTTTACTGTTATACACAGGGTGTCCGCGGGGTCTTAAAAAGTATTAAAAGTTGATAAATCAATTTAGCGAAAATTAAGGCTATTAAGCGGCATTTTCCAAGGTATTAAGAAGGTCCACAGCAACGACAACATGAAACACCCTTTCATTTACTGAAACGACATGTCGGGAAACCCCCCAAGGCGGCCCCATTCATAGCGCGCCGTAAAATGCTGCTTATTATTTTAAGTTTCGTTGCCTTGCTCCGCTCTGTGGGGGGGGGACTAAACGACTACGGTAACGGGTCCCAAGGTGGGTAGACCGGCATACGCAACGCTCTGGGGGTCCAACGGCTCCGTGTGTAAGCCCTAGTATATGATCATTTTCTGATAACGATGAAATAGCCCGCCTCCCTCTCCCCGCGTCTCCTGCTGCTGCTGGGCTGTCAGAAGAGGGGGAGGAAAAGAGAGGCAGGCACCGTTTATTAAATATTATTATATATACAGAGAACAGAGTCGTTATCAATTTGTTTTAAAGCTCAATAAATAACAAAGAAGACCTCTGACCGGCACTTTTCTAATTTTGTACGGAGGATTTAAACTTTAAAGGACATGTTGACCGGCGGAACATTTTTTTTTACGGAAACTGCCGCACGGTCCCCTCGTTCCTTGGAAGAGGCGGAGAGGTGGGTGTTTTTGATCTGCTGTGGACTACCGGAGAGATATACAGCAGGAGAACACGCCGTCCACCGCGGAGAATAAACAGAAGGGCAACCATGGCAACCATGCTCCGGGGTCTTCTTCGCTGCTTTTGGTGTATTTCGGGCGGCAGCAGCGCCACTTACAGGCCTGGCATATGTACTACATCGTTTCCAGCATTTCCAGCGGTCTAGTGTGAACGGACACGTTAATGAATCGAATGCGTGTGAACGGAAGCCTTTTTTGCGCTTGCGTATGCGTTTTACCGTAGTGGGGCCGGGGTCTAAGCCAAACTATATCCGGTCACAGAGATCTGCTATTTTAAAGTAAAGTCAACACATATCGACCCTAAATATAGTCTATATTAAGAACGAGAAAAGTCTTAACATATATATCCTTTTTTGTAAACATATGACAAATGTGTGAGGGTGATGACGTCAGAGCATCGTCCTATGTGCCAGGGCTTAGCCCCGGACAGCCCCAGCCCAATTTAACCCCTGGGTATTTGAGAGGGAGCTCCTATATGGCATTATCCCGCTGAAGCTCACCAAAGTTTAACATATTGTAACGTCCACCCGGACGTGTCGGAATGACGAGTGAAGCGTTCTCAAGTTAAACAGGTTTATTAACAACCAACGGCTCTCATCCGTCCTTTCTCACTCTCTCTCCTCTCGCGCCAACCTCTCACTCCCCTGCACGCACCCACCCAGACACACACACACCAAACCCTCTGCTCCCCAACCCCGCCCCTACCTGCTCTCCTCACAGAAGCCTGACACAAACAGTTAACAGAACACTTGAACAATAAATGCAGATCGCTACAGTACCATACACTATACCAGGGGTACTCAAATACAAATCTTAAAGGTCCACAAAGAAAATGTTCAATAAGACAAAGGTC